GCGCCCACGTGACCGGCGTAAGTGCACCGCGTTGTCAGCCACAGCAAGTCTATTCCTAGGAGTTTACCCTCGACAACCCAAGACACCTCCCCACAAAAAGGCCTGTACAGGAGTGTTCATAGCAGCTTTATTGGTGACAGCTCCAAAGTGGAAATAGCCCAAACATACAAGCGTAAGAGAATGGATAAAGAAATTCTGTATGTTCCTAGCATGGAATTCTCTTTAGTGATAAAAAAAAAAGGATCAGTGTACCAATGCTTCACAAAACGAGAGCAGCAGCAGCTGAGCAAGAGAAGGTAGGAAAAGACAGAGTGGCCTACGGCACGGTTGCAGGGTCCATATACACTGTATGACGTTCTAGAACAGGCAACACTAATTTACGGCGAAAGAAATCGGACAGGGGTGCGTCTGCGGGCAGGGACTGACAGGGAAGGAACGGACATTTCCTGGGGGATGGAAACATTCTGCATCTTGGTAAGTGGTGGATTATGGGGCAAAAGCATTTCTCAAAGCATGTTGAGCTGTGCTTACAAGATCCGTGCATTTCACTCTATGTAAACTATGCCTCAACAAAAAAATTTAAATTTATATTTCACACCATGCACAACAAACACATTGCACCTGGATTTAAGAGCTAAACTTAAAATACTAGCACCAGTGCTGGAGGACGTTTTTATAATCTAGAGGTGCAGAAGGCCTTTCTAATTATAATAATCAGAAGTCACAAGACAGACTTTGTCACATAAAAATTTTAAATTCAGCATACATATAAAACTACAATATATAAAGAGCTCATAGAAATCAATAAGAAAAATATAAGCAGCACAATGGAATTTTTGCACAAAGGCAATTCGTATAAGAGGAAAGGCCAATCTGTAATAAAGAGACACTCAGCTTTATCGATAATAAAACTACAAAATAACACATTAAAGTATAAGTTTTCCTCTAGACAATTAGAAAAGGTAAGAAGCATAACAATGCTCTTAGTGCAGGATGTGGGGAGAGGCAAACATCAGCATGCATTTTGGTAACAGAGCCCAGAGGAACGGCGTGCATCCCGGACCCCGCCCCTAGGAAGGTAATCGCACAGGGGGAAAAACGCCGCGCTGGATCCTTCTTTGAGGCAGCGTTTCCGGAAGGAAAAGGAGAAACAGCCACAGGGACGTCCGCGAGGCTCGTGCTGCGGCGCAGTACGACGCACCAGCGAAGCCAGCGTGAGTCTGTCTGCCGAGTAACCACGCACGCTGCAGGGGCCGCTTGCCTGACGCTCTGCCAGGTGTGGCGTGTCACCCCGGAAGGGGGCAGGGGAGGCCATCGTGAGGGGGCACCGCACCCCCGGCCTCTCCTGGCTGGGGCCCCCTCGGAGCCCTGGTCACTGGGGGTGTACAGGGTGGGCAGACCCCCGCCCCAATGGGCTCAGGCCTCCCCGCCTGACCCCCAAGCCCGCTTTTCTTTCACAGACTGCAACCTGGCCCAGGACAAGGACGCGGGGTGCTCTCTGCCTTGGTGGGCTGAGAACCTTCTGGAAACAAGGAGCCTATATTCACAGCCTTGCCCAGGTGAAGGCTTCCAGCTGTTGCAAGAACTTGAGAACGAGCCTGCACGGGTTGTAGATTTTTGTTCATCCAAAGAAGGGAAAAGAAATGCAGAGAGGGGAGGGAAGGCCCTGCCCAGCACCCCCAGGCCCTGCGGGGCTCCCGCCTGCTTGTCCCCACACCCAGAGCCCTTGTCCTCGCTCAGAGCCACGGCCCCGGCCCCCCCGCCCCGAAGTCTGTCGAGGAATGAAGTGGTCGCTGTGGGGCCGTCCAGGACCGGGTGAGTCAGGTTCCTCGGGGGCCCAGTAGTGGGGCCACCTGGCTGGCTTTCCTGTCACCCCCTGGGTTTGCGACTGGCCTCACGCAGCGAATACTGTGAGTGCACCAGGCACCTGGCCCAGTGTGTGGGACAGGACAGGTGACCTTCCAGATGCAAAACGTGGCCGCCTGCCAGCCGGAGCCGTCCTGAGGGGCTGGAGAGGGGCTGTGCCCGCTGCTCCCCTCCCCCAGGGCTGGCAGCCCTCACCTTCTACCTCCAGGTGGGCCTTCTGCACCTCTTGCCACTGCTTCCGGCATGAGGTGAGCTGCTGGCCCCACTTCCCCAAACCCGCCTGGTCTGGGCTCAGCGGGGCCTTCCTCGTGCACTCAGGAGCGAAAGGCCGGGAGTCCCTGCGTGCCACGGCACCAGGGGTTAAAGTGGCCTCCGCGAGGTCCAGCGCTGCCCTGAGCAGACCAGTCACACCTGCCCTGGGCCCTCCTGCTCGTCCCTCTGCAGCCGCCGAGTGCCTGGGGTCACCCACCTTCCAGCACGGTGCGTGGAGGGCGCCCTGCTGGGGCCTTCTATTTACAAAGCGCAAGACGGTTGTCGTTCCAGGCAAATGTCTAAAAACAACCAATCAAATGAATTCTGTGTATTAAAACATGGAGCATTTCAGCTATTTTTCTGCTGAGTCTACAAGCTCTCCTGTGGTGAGGCCGGCCCAACGGGAAGAACGCAGCAGGTGGCGGGTCCCTACGGAGGGGCAGAGGTCACGGGCTGCCAGGAAGGAGGGCAGGGCCGGCCTCACTGCGTGAAATGCGGAGCTGACCTGGGACGTGGGGACTCACCTGGAGCTGCCCCACCAGCTTCCAGGATGACGCCCGGACCGGAGCACCTGGCGCCAGACACATGGTCACACGTGCACACACTCACATGGACACACGCACATGAACTGAATGCACACGCAAGTGCACACGCACTCACATACATGGACGCTCACTCATGCACTCGAGCACACACATGCACTCACACAGCCACGGACCCAGAAGCACATGCACGCATGTACTACCATGCACACATGCAAGCAGTCACATGGACACGCACCCTCGAGACACACCCACGGGCTCCACTAACACCTGCCTGGGGCGCCCCCTCCTCAGGGCGCGAGCTGGGGTGAAGCCGCTGCACTTGGGCGTGGGGAGGCCCGGGCCCTGCCCGCTGGTCCTGGGCCGGCGTGACCTGTGAGCGCGGCACCGCCGGGAAGCGCGTGTTCTCAGGAGCCCAGTGAAACGTGGTGCCATAATAAAAGCCTCGTTTAAAGTACTTCTTTTTTTATTGATTTCATTGAAAACAGAACAAGAAATGGTCGGAGCCAAAAGATTGCTCTTAAAACTGTCAAAACATTTTAACAGAAAAAAATAAACATGGCTGCATTATGAATGTTTTAGAAGAGTCGCACAAAAAAACCCCACTGTTACTGCACTAATTACAGTATTTAAAAAGGTATATGCCGAAAAAAAGAATATGACCTGTCTGGCCACCACACAAAAGGTGATGGCAAATTTATTCACACTACAAGACTAATATTTTAAAAAAAGTTTTTTCCTGCATTTTATTCTAAAATCACTTTGTTCTCTTTATACAGTTGATAGTTTATTTTCACGTGGTGAGTAGAAACCACACCAGAATCAGCACCGTTGTCTGTGTTTTGTGTTTTTTATTTTTTGTTTGTCCTAATGTTCAGTAATGGTAGAAAATAAATCAGTTTATGCATCATCATAGCATGTGGCTTAAAAAAACTCAACAGAAGGTGCCAGCGTCAACAGGACTGGCGGAGGCTGGTGCGGGGTCCGCCTGCACCCACCAAACCGCTTCCTTGAAAAGAAACGTCAGTTAGAGGTTCGATATATAGGACTAGATATAGGATTCCTTTAAAAAGCAAACCCACATTTTCTCCAAAGTTAGTGGTGGGCTCGGCCCCTGACCTCCCCAAGGCCGTGACGGGAGCGGCGTCCTCTGAGCGGCGTCCAGGAACCAGCTGTGCAGGCGTGGGCGGGTGGCCTAACGGAGCAGCTTGCGGTGACGGCGGCTTTGGCGGGCGCCACGCACAACAGTCTGGTCCGGACAGCAGAACACACCAGCCCAGCGGCGGAGCAGGGACCTCGGAGATCAGAGGGAGAAACGAGAAACTCTGCGACAACAAAGCCACCATCAGAGACTCACAAGGTTACGCCAGCGCGGAATCCCAGCGTCGTCCAAGATGCGCGGCCGTCCTAAGCCTCCGTCCAGCCTGAGCACGGGCCCAGACGTGAGGCCTCAGGTCTGGGAGGCTGCTGGGAGGCGTCCACACCCGCCCGCAGGCCGCTAGGCCCGGGACTTGCCGCCTCACCCCGACCCCTCCAGGAATTAGCGGCGGCACTGCCCCTGACCAGGGCCTCCGGCCGGCAGGTACAGAACCTCTCCTCCTCTCTAAACCGCGATGCCGACAGCGTCTGGCTCCTGAGCACCCGCTGGCCCCGGCATCTCATAGAGGGTCGGCGGCGGCGGCAGAGCTGGTGTCCGGCAGGCCGTTCTCCTGGGCCTCCTGGGCCGCGCTGGCCTGCCGCTGGGCCAGGGCCGCGCTCGAGTGCCGGCACTTCGGGGAGCCGCAGCGGCAGCTGAAGAGCTTGCCCTTGATGTCCCAGAAGCGCTCCCCGTAGTCGAACCTGCGGAGACAACACGGCTTGGATCGCACCGGCGCCGCCCAGACAGGGCCAGCCGAGGCTAAAGCCTCCTCACCGCGACCTAAGCTGTCGCTCTCCGGCGTGACTTCCGGAAGCTCCAGCGTGAACCCGCGCCGAGAAGCAGCGCGCACGACCCGCCCCTCCCGCCTGGCCGGCCCGCGTACGTACCCCAGCTGCTCCCCAGCCTGGATCGGGCGCGTGCTGAAGAAGGCAATCCTGGGGAAGCGCAGGTCCTGGTGGGACATGAACACGCGCACGGGCACCAGGTTGGGCTCGCAGTGGTGGTTGATGAAGCGGCTGACGTTGCCGTAGAAGCGCGCGTCGATGCAGTACACCTCCCCGTCCTGCGGACAGACAGCGCTGCGGGCACCACCCCGCCCACGACCCGCTCCCGCGCCCCGCGGGCACCACCCCACCCAAGACCCGCTCCCGCGCCCCGTGGCGCCACCAGGGCCTGCCTCTCCTGTGGGGGCTCAAGACGCCCCCCAACCGCCGTGGGGCGGGGGTGGCCACGCTCACAGGGCTGCCGGCGTGGCGGGGACACCTCCAAGACGAACTATGTCAGAGGCAGCACCCTGACCACACCTCTGGCCGCTCGGCAGCGGGAGAATGAGGCCGGGTGAGACCCACGACAGGCCACGGGGGCTCTGCGAGGGCGGAGCTGGCGTCCTGGCACCGTCTGGTGAGGACCTCGGGGCAGGGCAGCTCCTCAGAGACTTGGTGGCAGAAGAGTTGAGTCCTCGGGGCTGGGAGACTCGGGCGACAGGGAAGATGCAGGGCGGGGGTGCAGGGCACAGGGGGTGTGGGGGAGGGGCAGGGATGTGGGGAGGGCGAGCTGGGCCGAGGCTGCCCTAGGGTTGGGGTTGGGGCTGGGGTTAGGCAGTCGGAATGGCCCTCTGGCCACAGAGCACTGGATCCACGACGCCAGCGACTAAGGGGTCCTGCTAACCCGGTGGGCAGAGAGCGGAGCCCAGGCGTCCCAGCGCCCGTGACCTCTGCCGTGGCATCAGTGGCACCACTCCTGGGCTTCCATGACACCACCGGAGGGTTCTGAACTGACAGACTGGGAGACTGGGGCGGGGGGGCCTGACCTGACCACATGAGCCCTTTAAAAGCGCAATCTCCTCTGGAGAGGCCCAGAGCGCAGGAAGCTACTGCCAGCCTGGACAGGGGCCGTGTGGGGAGGAGCGGGTGGCCCTGGCCACCAACTAGCAAGAGCAGCGGACACTGCTCGTCACCATGGTGAGGAGCTGGATCCAGCGTCACCCTGCGCGAGCTGGCAGGATTCTTCCCCAGAGCCGCCAGGCGGGGTTTTGCCAGGCCACGCCGGACACCCGCCCTACACGGCAGGAGCTACTCAGCGGTGCCGTCTGGAGCTGCTACGCTGCGGCGTGATCTGTGTGCGGCGACGAGAGGACAGGCAGGTGAACTGGAAATGAGGCACAGGACGAGGCTCCTCCCAGACGCGAGTCCACGGAGGGAGGGGCCTATAGGCAGAGGCTGCTCCGCGGACACCCGGCCACGTCCTCCTGAGCATAACCAGGAGGCCAAGGATCCCCAGAAGTAAACAGAAGTTAAAAACCCAAACCAGCGGAGGGAGAGAGGCAGCTCCCTGACAAGCCCCACAGACAAGAGGGCGGAGCCTGGGGAGTCCAGGCGCGTCAAAGGTGCGGACACGGACAACGCCTTCCGTCAACACCCCTCGGACACCACCAGGCGCAGAAACCAGCCATAACCACCAGCCGTGAAGACGCAGCAACCCCACTTCTCAGGGTTCAGAGGTTCAAAGGGACTCTCATGGGGGGATTCTGGCCTCGGCTTCAGGGCGTGCGGTGACCCTCTCCCCTGCAGAAAGCAACTCTGAAGCTGGAAACAGCACAGATGTGAAGGTCCCAGGGAATAACGAAGACTGGCTTTGGGGTGCTCCTGCCTGCAGGCAGGACCCGGGCCTGTCTCCGCCTGGCCGGAGCGCACAGGCCTCCAGCAGGGGAAGGACCCTCGGTGCCTCTGAGGGGGGGGTGGCATCGCGGTCTGCAAACACCCACCTCTGAGCGGCCGTGACCCAGAGTAAAAGCAGCCACGAAAGACCTGAACGGAGACGGTGGCGCTGACGGCAGACAACCGGGACAGAGAACGCAGCTGCCACGCGAGCAGCAGCGCCTGCCGTGTAAGCTGGGTCGGTCAACAAAACAACACGCACGGGCTGGAGAGAAAGCAGAATTCTCCCCACGGGTCTACACTGACAACCCAAACCACGTGACGTACACAAACCAAGAAAACGGACACGTTCTAAAGAGAAAAGTCAATCAACCGAGTCAGCCCCGAGATGAACCAGACGCTGGACTGACAGAGGAGTATTTTTAAAGTAGATCCTCAACCGAGTAAACAAAGCATTTCAGTGCATGAAAATCTCAGAGAAACGAGAAGTTCCAGCAGAGAAATAGAAAAGGAATCAAATGGAAATTCTAAATCAAAACTCGCTGGCTGTTAAATCCGCCACTGGCTGGATGAAGAGAACCTCAGAGACCCGTGCGACGGCGGGAAGAGGCCAAGCGGGAGGACTTGAGGGCAAGATCACTCAGGGAGACGTTATCCGCAAACAGCAAGGGCTGAAACGAACCTCAACGTCCCCAAAGAAAGACGTCTACGTACTAGTAGCATACGGCGGTCCGGGGTCATGGACGAGAAACATTCCCGGGAACCCCTTTATGTCGGATTTGCACCCCTTTTGTCGGACTGAGACCCCTGAATAGAAGCACACGCACGGGGATGATGACGATGCCACGGCTCATACGTGACACCGCCGTCCTGTGATAACACGCTGCAGAAACTACCGTGCGCTTCCTTTCAATTCAAACAAACTCATACGAAAGGTTTAGCCAGGAGATGGGAGAGATTTCAGAAAAGAATATTAAAGGTCAATGCTCGTCCGACGTTGCACCAGTGCTGGGCTGATGGCAATGTTATGCTCATCTCGATCTTCCAGCCACATCAGTAACCGCCTTTCCTTTTCGATAATTGACCCACTGTGCTGCTTGGCAACAACGATGCTTTCAGTGGAGCACCGCCTTTCACACGTTTTGTTTTTCTCACTTGACCCTCTGTAATTGCCCCGACAGTCAGGTGACTTCGGGCCTGACACCGTCCCAGTGCGCAGCGGCATCTGGCCTCTTCCTAACGCTTCATCGTTTCTACTTTCGTTTCCACTGGGATCACCTTTCTGTGGGCCGCAGGCTCACCGGGACTTGCCGTGGACTCCGCGGTGGAGGCAGGTCACAGGCGACGCGCTCTCTGCAGACACAACTGATGCTTTGTGTGGGCAGCGTACGAGCAGCACGAGTGGCCGCCGCACCAACAAACTGCCACGTCCTGTGGGCTTGTTCACATGCGCAGAAGAAACTAGTCCCAGCCGGTTATGAATCAGCCTTACTGGGAGCCGTGGGAGCTTGTTCGTAAGCACGGAACGCCACGAGTCAGGTCGTCCGTCCCCCGGGTACTGCTGGCCCTGACTTTCACAATATCCTGTCCAGGCGGAATTGTAAGGAGGTGGCGCTACATCCACTCACACTCACACACACTCTATGTCATACCACATTGCGTCAGAAAAGAAAGGAAATAAGAAACATGCGTAAGTGTTTTTCCTATATTTCCACAAATGTTAGCTGTTCGGGGCGGGGTGGGGGCAGGAGCTAGGGTCAGAAGTGGTGGCGTTGGGCGGGGGCTGTGGGGAGAAGATCGGCTCTTGAGGGCAATGCCCCATGAGTGGGACCCGCCCTTGCAAACGGGAACCCAAAGAACTGCCTCCCCTCCGACCACACGGAACAAGGCGCTGGCCAGGAGCCAGGAAGAGGCCCCCCAACCCCTGCCAGACACCCCGTCTGCTGGGGCCTGCATCTCGAGACTGGCAGCCTTAGGAAAGGTTGCAACTGGAAGAAATAAATTTCTGTTGTTTATGAGCCTCCCAGGGCGGCAGCCTGAATGGACTAAGACAAGTAACAGAACGTAGAGAACATGGACGAAAGCAAGATTTTTCTCAGGAGGATCTGGTCATATAATTTTTACTTTTACAGTATGTAAATATTTTACATGATCAAAATATAAAATAGGCTGGGAGCAGTGGCTCACACCTGTCATCTTAGCATTCTGGGAGGCCAAGGCAGGAGGACTGCTCGAAGTTGGGAGTTTGAGACCGGCCTAAGCAAGAGCGAGACCCCGTTTCTACTAAAAACAGAAAAAATTAACTGGGCGTGGTGGTGGCACCTGTCGTCCCAGCTACTCAGGAGGCTGAGGCAGGAGGATCACCTGAGCCCAGGAATTTGAGGCTGCTGTGAGCTATGACGACGCCACCGCACTCTACCTGGGGAGACAGAATGAGACTGTCTCAAAAAAAAAAAAACTGAAATCCTAAAACTGACAATGCACTAAAATTAACATAACTGCCTGTCCGTCAAATTGGTAATATAATTATTGCAAGCACTGCAAAGCACACGACTTTGTACATCCTTAGTAGAATATACCCTAAGGGCCAGAACACTGCGAAGAAATCGCAAAGGGCATCCGATGGCTGCACTGGTACTGCCTGCTATCGATACTATTGGGAGCGCTATTTTGACTAAAGTTTTCAGGAACCAAGATTTTCACTGTGAGAGATGCAAGTATAAAATCGAAGAAGCTGGGCAAAAACCCTATACCGTTAAATTTGTTTCAAAACATACTTTTAAAAATTTACCTCACAGCTCTGTCCTCTGAAAAACGGGTCTTAAGCCAACAGCAGACCAACAGCAACGAGCACCCTGGAGTCTGATTTGGTCTCTAAAATCACTGTCCTCTAGAAGGAACAAGGACCGCTCGGAGAAACGGCTGATCCCAAGTCTGGGCGGGGAACAGGTAAGGTGCCGTAGACGGGGGCAGGACAAGCCACCAGAAGCGGCGCTGCGTCCTGAGGCCGGGTCACTCGGAGACTGGCGCTCAGTGGACCTGGGTCTGGGCTGGAGCTGGAGCAGGCACCCGGGAGGCGCTGGCGTATCCGTGGCCTTTCACGTCCCCGGACCAACGAGAACCGCACCCGGGCCCGGGTGTCGGTGCTGGGAAACGCGAGGACGAGGGTAGGGCTGGACACTGCTGCCTCGGGCAGGCGGGGACCTAACCTAGGGACATTCGCAGATGGCTCTGGGGGCAGCGCCTGTAACGCAGGGGAGAGGAGCAGTCGCTGGTACGATGTCCCTGAGAAGGCGACGGTGGGTCTGGCTCCAGGCAGGACCGTCCCCGTCAGGGAAGGGGTACAAAGGCAGACCACTGACGCGCCAGGGGAGGTGGGGCGATTTGAGAAGACCGGCTCTGGGCG